AATCCAGGAGTTTGAAACTCCTGAGATGACCAATCTCAAACTAACATAACAGTTCAATTCAGCTTCCGTCTCCCAACCCTTATCTCATAACCACTACCACAGGCTTTTATCTTGCTTTTTCTTTCTTTTTTGAAACAAAGTCTCACTTTGTCACCCTGGGTTGAGTGCTGTGACGTCATAGCTCACAGCAACCTCAAACTCCTGAGGTCAAGCAATCCTCTTGCCTCAGCCTTCCAAGTAGCTGGGACTACAGGCTTTCACCACCACATCCAGCTAGTTTTTCTATTTTTAGTAGAGAAGGAGTCTCACTCTTGCTCAGACTGGTCTCAAGTTCCCTAGCTCAAGCAATCCACTTGAGTTGGCCTCCCAAAGTGCTAGGACTACAGGAGAGAGCCACTGCACCCAGCCCACACATAAAAGTTTTACAATTCACAGTATTTGCTATGGTTCTTCATTTCCTTATCAACTAACCTGAAACTCAGCAAACTAATCTTGCCTGAGTAGTGGTGTGCTGGTAAATGTTTAACAATCAGCTATCAGGGAAAAACAAAACAAAGCCCTAATTTACCAATTTCTGGGACATAACTACTTCTGCTATGGCCAATTTCAAGATACAACATAACATCACTGGACAGGGAGTTGGGAAGAGATGTGCACAACTGGCCTTTGTGGGTTAGTACCATCTGGCTCCAGCATTCCACTGCTACCTTTCAACTCAGCAGAAACAGCCAGAGGTTAGAAGTTCGGGAATGCAAGGGACCAGAAGAGCCTAAGCCCTTATCCACATGGCCAGCAAGGGGTGAAGACAGGCTTCCCAGGCACCTGGCTCACCCTAGAGGAGGTGGCCAGGACCTGGGAGACAACAAACTATGTACGTGCAGCACACTTCCTGGTGCTAAAGCCTCCAGCTGGACTTCCCATACATAAGAAGGTCTTCTCAGAGAGACGGCAAGAAAAGGGGTATAAGGAAACAGGTAAAAATTATTTAAATACTTAAGTGGATTGTTTAGATTTATGTGTATTTACTAGATGTACCCTTTCAAACTATTGAGAGTGAATCTTTGAGCAAGGCCACTAGATAAAGTGAAGTATCAATAATGTCTTTTCTCATAATAAGAAACTACTTCATAAAGCAAAAATTCTTTTTATAAAGCAAAATCCTTGAGACATGAATATATAGTCTATCTTTCTAAAAAGGGTTTTGTGGAATAAGGACTACCCCCAAATCATGATTACTAGACAGTAGCAGCCTTATCATAATGGTTTTTGAAATACAAAGTAAGAAAAATATCCTCTCCTTGTCATCCACCATCTATCTCACTTTCTGCCCCAGAATTTGCTGAATTTTTTTTATAGAACAATCTGAAAAGTGGGCATATTTCCAAACAATATACTACAAAGCAACCCCAAATCTCCCATTAATAGCAGATTTGGATATGAATACCAGGCAGACTATCAATGCGCTCTTTCTCTCAAATTCTACAGTACTGCAGTGGGGTTAAAGGCCTCTTGCCTGCTATGGCATTGACAAGGAATCTCCTTGGGATGGAGAGGATGAGATACCCAGCAGGTACAGGGAGAATGACCCTCTCCCTGGACTCCAGTGTTGGGGGGAGGTGGAGGGGAGGAAGCAAGGAGACTGAGACTGCTCCCTTAGGCTAACCTGTCAGTACACTTCAGGATTGAAGACCCCACGAACCAAATGAAAAATGGAACAGCTAATTAAGATCCCACCTAGTCTTGCAGTTTCATGACTTTGATTTATAACTTTTTCTTTCTTTTTTTTTTTAAAGAGATAAAATCTCACTCTATCACCCAGGCCAGAGTGCAATGAATGGTGCAATCATAGCTCACTGCGGCTTTAAACTTCTGGGCTCAAGCGATCCTCCTGCCTCAGCCTCCTGAGAAGCTGGGGCTATAACACATGCCACTGAACTTGCTTGATTTCCAACTCTTCCACAGAGACTTTTGCTTTTTAGTTTTTCAAAACAGAAGACCTGATACAAATTCTTTACAATCCCTCCTACAGTCTTACTTTGGCAATAACTGAGATTGTGTTTCTGCATTTTTATAAAAATGAGAAGGTAGAGATATAGAAGGAAACAAAAAGCAGAAACGGGACTGATAAGCTGCATGTTTCCTCTAGATTAGGCTCAAACCATGCGTTGCTAGTGGAAATACCAAGGAAGCGATGCTGTGTATTCTATCAGCAAGTGGATGATGGTGCTTTGTCTCACTATTGGTGATAAATTTGACCACTTGGTTAAGGCTGTCTGCCAAGTTCATCCACTGTAACATTCTGCCCTCTGAAATTAATAAGCTATTTTGTACTTTGAATAAATAAAGCTATAAATGTCCTGTTTCCCATCAGTATTTCACCAACTAAAGTCCAGTGATGTCTATCACTCTTTTCTGTACTTATTACTTGGTATTTTACTGCAAGAGCTTTTCTTTCTTCCCCTTTTATATTAATATGGGCACATGGATTTTTATTCAATGAGTTATAACCCATTCCTATTATTTATTTTGACATGCAAATTGTACCATATTTGGCCAGTGGGGGGCTCTTTCAAGCTAGCTCCTGTGTAATTGGATAAGCTCCCAGGCATAATTCTTGAGCATTCCCTCCCTTTCTGTCAGAACAACATGTGCTAAGCTCATCTTGTATTTTTTTTTTTTTGAGACAGAGCCTCAAGCTGTCCCCCTGATAGAGTGCCATGGCATCATAGCTCACAGTAACCTCCAACTCCTGGGCT